ACAGGAGGAGATTACCCATCTTTCTCCTATAGAGCACTGGTGGATTCAAACTGTATATCTTTGGGTTGGAAGTGCAGTTTCTTCCCAAGCCACCACCAGTGCTCCCAAATAGGTTATACTGTTCTTAAGTATCTACTTTTTTTACAGTTAAAATAGCACTGGATGGAGGGGAGTGTTTAGATCCATCGTTCATAGGATCACCATGAGTTGTAGTCAACTTTAGGGTAGCAATCCCAGTACTAGGAATGTACCCTAAAGAGAACAGTGATAAGACACAAATGCATGATCACCCATGCTTATTTATTTTTTAATTTTTTTTTCACCCATGTTTATTGTAGCTTTATTTACAATAGTAAGGAGATGTAAGCAGCTCAAATATCCATCAACAAATGAATGGATAGAGAAACGATGCTACATCCACACTGTGAGGTATTAATACGGCATTGAAAAACAAGGGAGATCTTGAGAGACACTATACTACATGAATGAATCTAGAGAACATCATGCTAAGTGAATTAACTCAGTAACAAGTGGACAAATATAGTATAAGACCACTATTAAAAAATTAGGATTAAGGCGTGGTAGAGGTGAGGGAGTCAGGGTAAACACAAAGACAATGGATAGATAAGGAACATGGCATTGGAACAGGTAAAAGGAAAGTAATTCTGAAAAGAATGTACAACAGGACATGAGTAATACTGACAAGAAGGTATAAGACATGTATTAGGGAATGAAGGATGTCTGTATAAATGAGTAAATGAGAAGCCGATTTCTTTGTAACTTTCATTCAAATCACAATTATAAACAATAGATTATTATTATTATTATTAGATGCTGTCAAGTTGAGTACAACTCGTAGGGACCCTATAAACAATAGATCTGAACCTTGTCCTATCCTATGCCAACAGTCACTGTATCAATCACCTGGTCGACGGTCATCCTTTCCATTGTACTTACACCTTTCCAAGCATAATACCCTTCTACAAGGAATAGCCTCTCCTAGCAAAATGCCCAAAGTGTGCAAGATGAAGCCTCACTAACCTTGCTTCGAAGGGGTAAACTGGCTTCACCTTCTTTCTCTAAAACATATCTGTCTGTTCTCTTGGCAGTTCATAGGATATTCATTACTCTTCTCCAATACTATAACTCAAAGACATCAATCTTTCTTCTGTCATCCTTATTCATTGTCCAACTTTAAAATGCATAGCAAATGATTGAGAAGACCATGGTCTGAAATCAGGTGCACCTTAGTTCTCAAACTAACATTATTACTCCTCTGTAATTTGGAGAGATCCCTGACTGCAGAGTTTCCCAGTGCAATACATCTTCTGATCTCCTGACTGCAGGTACCAAGTGTACTGATTGTATATCCAAGTAAGATGAAGTCATTAACAGTTTTAATCTTTCAGCCAAGATCCATCTGAAATTGGCTGTGATGTCCCTAGTGCCATAGCATCTTCTAAACCCAGCTTGAATTTCTGGTAGTTCTCTGTCAGTGTACTATTCCAGTCATTTTTGGATAAAGTCATTTTGGATTTTGCTTGTGTGTGATATTGGTGATATTGTTCAATCATTTTTGTAGTATGTTGGATCAGCTCTTTTTTGAATGGGAATTAATAATGGATCTCTTCCATTCATTTGACCAGGTAGTTGTCCTCCAGATTTTCTGGCCCAGTCTGGTGAGCATGTTCAAGGCTGCATTTGTATTTTGGACTATGTCAGCTGCTGTGTTTTTTCTAGTTTCTTCAGAGTTGCTTGAACGTCCTCTTTCATCACCAGTGCCTCTAGGTCATAGGTTGTTAATGAAATTCTTCTGTCTTAACCAATTCTTTTTGGTATAATGAATAATGACTCTGTGTACTCCTTTCATTTTCTTTTAATGCTTTCTGGGTTATTCAGTATCTATCCCTTAGAGAAGGGTTCGTACATTCTGCTGAAGTGTAGTAATTTGTGTGACGTTTCAAACGTAGTTTTTATATTCTTATCTTTCTTCAGAATGTGTATTAATCTGGCAGATTTTGCTTTTCATTTTTATATTTTTGGATAATAATGCTCTTAGTTTTTCAGCCTTGGCGAGAAATACATTACAGAATGCAGATGACTGGTAGTTTGCCTTAGCAACTTGCCTCAAGTTTTTAATGCTTCTTTTCTTGCTGTCCATTTATGTGATTAAATTTATTTAACCTATACTCCTTGGTCTTTATTTGATTTTCTTAATTTTAATGGAAGTTTACAGAGACTTAAGGTTTCCATTCATTCATTGTTGCACTTTTCTCCCTGCCCACCCCCCCTCTTGATTTATTTTTTTAAAAATAATTGCCTGATACGGACTGTCCTCCTTGTCTCTTGCTCACCAGTCTTTGAATTTGCATTCCTGTTTTTGATCAGCTCTTCTAGCTAACTTGACTACTTGCTATTCTTGCCTACCCAGCTTTTCTCTTTCTACTTCCCACCTGTTGAACATTACCTTCTTTCCTCTATGCAGATTCCTGTGGTTCATTTCCTAATTACTTCTCTGACTTATTGCCTCTACCTGACTTTTGATACTCATTTACTTTTAGAACTCTCCTAAAATAATGTATGTAAAAGAAATGCTTAGATATGCAGACTTATATTTTCTTAAAGGTTCTTGGTTTTAGTGAAAGAAACCCTGGTGACACAGTGATTAAAGTGCTCAGCTTCCAAGCAAAAGTTTGGTTGATGGAAACCTACTGCCAGCAACTTTACTGAAGAAAGTTGTAATAGTTTAGTTTTGGTAAAGTTCACAGCCCAGGAAACCCAGTGACACAGTTCTACTCTGGCTTGTAGGGTCTAGATATGAGTTGGAATTAATTTCCTGGTAGTTGGTTTGAGTTAATGGTTGGTATTGATGAGTAAAAGAACTGAATGACAGATTGAATTTTTCATGCTAATAGTTTTATGCTGTATTTAAATGAAGAGATTATTTTTTCAGAACAACTGGTATTAGAATCAGTTTATGTGTGTTTACATTGTTTCATGTAGCTAACATTGTAAAATCCAAATTTGTTATGTTTTGGAGAGGAAATATATTAAGACAATAGATTGGAAATGTTACACCCTCAGATACTGGGTTGGTCATTAACATACTCAATCTTTTTCCTCCAGATTTAACTCAGGCTTTCCCTCACTTTGGAACTCCTAGATTTGTGAATATTGGATATGTTGAGAAGCAGGGGTTCTTTCCTTGATATTGACTAAGGAGTCTATTTACCTTCAGGATGACATCTGAACTGGAGAGCAGCCTAACATCTATGGACTGGTTACCACAGCTTACTATGAGAGCAGCCATCCAGAAGTCTGATGCTACACAAAATGCACATGGAACAGGGATTTCCAAGAAGAATACGCTGCTTGATCCAAATACAACCCTGGACCAGGAGGAAGTCCAACAGCACAAAGATGGGAAACCTCCGTACAGTTATGCCAGCCTCATTACATTTGCGATTAATAGTTCACCCAAAAAGAAAATGACTCTAAGTGAGATTTACCAGTGGATTTGTGATAACTTTCCATATTATAGAGAGGCTGGCAGTGGTTGGAAGGTAAGTATCTATTTATTTACTTTTATGCAAAATCATTAATAACATTGTTGACATACATGGAAACTGAAGCTTTATGGAAACTCATAAAGATGAAATTCTGAGAAAGAATAATTTTCAGAAATTTAAATGCTTTTAGTTTGGGCACATACCTTTGTTTTTTGGTGAAATACTATTTTTATAGGGCTTTTATATTATAGGAGAGACATGTCAAAGTAAGAGTAAAGATAATGTAACATTTCTTGGAAAACAATTTAGGTAGGTTGATAGTGTAAGAATATAT